CACAAAAAATAGCCCATGAGGTCACCCCGCGGCCTTCCCATTGGCTGCGGCGGCACCTCAGGGGGGTGGCGGGCCGCTGGCCCGGCCTGTTGCAAAGGAGCCGGTCTCCATGGTCACCCCACCCCTAGAAGCTTCTCAGCTCCCTCGCAGGGCACTGTGGGATGAGGTAATGCTTGTGCTCACCGCGGGGCATTGTGGGCTGACGTATTGTTTTTGAATCTCTGGTTACCCGCTGAAGAGCGCTTGGACGCGCGGGGTTGGGAAGGGGGAGCCTCCTTAATAAGCAGCAAGCACCAAGTTGTGGACGGAGGGGGGTGGGAAAGGCACACAGACAGAGCTGCTCCCTGGACACGGGGTGGCTAGTGAGTTTTTAATCTGCTCACCGCGGGGCATTGTGGGCTGACGTATTGTTTTTGAATCTCTGGTTACCCGCTGAAGAGCGCTTGGACGCGCGGGGTTGGGAAGGGGGAGCCTCCTTAATAAGCAGCAAGCACCAAGTTGTGGACGGAGGGGGGTGGGAAAGGCACACAGACAGAGCTGCTCCCTGGACACGGGGTGGCTAGTGAGTTTTTAATCAATCCTACTGCTTGAGTCTTCACGGTTCAGTCTGCCAGCAGGGGGCTGGGTGCATCGAGGGCCTCGCGTCGGGGCTCGCTTTAGGCTGCATTCTGACTCCCCCCCCCCCCCCCCGTGGGGTGGTACGGTCCTTAAGGTGGCACTGACGTCTGGGCGCAGCCGTAGGCTGGGGACAGCTTAGGGATGACCCTGAGCCGCACGTGATTCTTCCCCTCCCTGCTGGGGCCGGCCGGCCGGCAGCGCTGCCTAGCGCCGGGGGAGCGCCGCTTGGCTCCGACGGGGGCAGCCGCTGTCGCTTGGGGAGGGGAGGCGCCTGCTCGGGAAGCAGCGGCTGAGATACGCGATCGGGGTCCTGCTACGGGCCCGAGCTCTCCGGGCTCCCGCCTCCCGCATTCAAACCTTGGCAGCTCCCGCCTGGCACCTGCGGAGCGCGGACGGGGCGGAGCCCACGTGGCTCCTTTGGCAAGCGGGAGCCGCGCCTGCCTCGCTGGCGGGGGCGTGCTGCTGGCGACGTGCCAGGGCTTCTCCCCACCCTGCGACCTTACCCTCTGCAAAGTGCTGCGCCTCTTGGGATGCGGCAGCGCTCCGGGAAACGCGGGAAAAAAGTGTCCTCGCCCTCCCACGGAGCGACCCCACCCCCGCCAATGCTCTGCCGCTCTTGGCAGGTGCTGCACATTGCTACCCAGACAGGGCTGCCTCCTCCCGACCAGTCTCACTAGTTTGTGGGGAGGCAGCGTTTGTGAATATCTATAAAGCTCTTTGCAAATTAGGCAGCGCTGATATGTCACCACCGCTGAGGTGGGAGGGAGCAGCTGCTTAACACCACCCGGCGCACGGGTACGGGGCAAGAAGCTGGAAGACTATTATATCATATTCTGCCGAGCAGAAACACGTGGCCAACGCTCCTAACAAGTAAAGCAATTATAAAAGTTACGTAGATCAAATTATCTGGTGGTGTAAATCGACGCACTTCTATGGAACTTTGCCAGTGTACTCCAGAAGAGAATGTGGCCATCCTGTTAAATCACGTCTTAAATGCAAAACGGACTGTTATTTCATGGATTAAACAAGTACTTGAAAAAGGGAAACATTCTAGGATTTTTTTGTTCTTGTTCCAGACATAACAATTGGTTAAATTTTCAAATGGGATTAAAAAGAAATACAAACCCAAAGCAGAAGTAAACATCATAGTCCATTAGTTTTCTAAATGATCTCCCAGTTTCTTCTTTCCATTTGACATTTTTTTTCTAGTGTCCTCCACTTGAATTTGAGTAGTATATTAACTTGCAAAAGAGCTAGTACTGCCGGTTTTGGAAAGTAATTGGTGTACAGAGAACAAGTGTACACTTTGTAGCATCTGGAGTAATAGTTCCTAGTGTGAAATTCTAAACTCACACCTGAATATATTGCCTATTATTCTCTATGTCTTGCCATAGTACATGTAACCAAGATATTCCTGTGTTCCAGAAAAGTTAAAATGTGTGCTAGCATGCAGCCAGAATTCCAACTGTTAAATAGCTTAACAAATCAGAAGTGTCATTGCATATACATTTGTCTCGAAATCTGTTATCAGCCTGTTCGATGCTAGACACACTCAGGCTGCATCTACACTGGCATGATTTTGCGCAAATACTTTTAACGGAAAAGTTTTGCCGTTAAAAGTATTTGCACTAGAGAGCATCTATACTGGCATGTGCTTTTGCACAAAAGATTTGCTTTTGCACAGAAGCATCCGTGCCAGTGTAGATGCTCTCTTGCGCAAGAAAGCTCTGATGGCCATTTTAGCCATCGGGCTTTCTTGCGCAAGAAATTGATGTTGCCCGTCTACACTGGCCTCTTGCGCAAGTACACTTGTGCAAGAGGACTTATCCCTGAGCGGGAACGGGAGCCCTGATTTTGTACATTACATTAGTGTTCTTGCGCTGATACTCCCAGCCAGTGTAGACAGGCAGCAAGATTTTGCCAATATAGACACAGCCTAATTGTTTAATTTAATGTTAACGGCTCCCTGCTTCATCAAAATTACACTCAAGATGTTACAAATAAACTTATATTTCATAAAGATACATTTCAAAGTTTTCATTTGTCTGTTTAACAATGGGAAATGTTTAATTTTACTCACTACCAGCTCTGATGCTATTGTAATCTTTTGTGTCAAAGTACAATTATCAAATTTTTAAAGGTTTTTTTTTTACAGTGGATATTATTCTGGTAAAAGGAAGAGTGTGAGCTTAAAACACTAGTTATTCTGAAATAATTCCCTTTGTGGACACTTATTTCAGAATAAGAACACCTTGTTTGCATTTGCTTAACCCATTGTTAAATTAAACCAGAGAAAGGCCGAGATTGTCAAAGGTTTTTAAGTGCCTAAGTCCCTTTGAAATTTATAGAAATTAGGTACCTAGATATAGCTAAGGGTTTGGGCTAAAGGCACGTTAAAGGTGTGTCTATTCTGGAATTAGAGGATTTGGATGGGGATTTATTGCAAAACAGATATTCCAGTCAATTTTCCTCACGTAGATAAGCTCTAAATCTTAACAGTGTTAAATAAGATTGCAGTAATCTTGAATTTGTCCAGAAACACTATATTTATGTATATAACTACTTGGGTATTAACAAATTAACATTACACACCCAAGTTAAGATGTAATGCCAAAAAAAAAAAAAAGGAAGTCAATGTACCATTCAGGCCTCTTTTTAGTCAACTTTATGTGTATGAACTGAAAAACAGATTATTGCTCCATTCGGGTCTGTTCCAACAGCCCTGTTGTCAACACAAGTTTTCCATTGATTCAGTGAGTATTGGAGTGGGTTGCTAGTATACTGTTGTGTAGAATTTTTTTTCATGTTTTTTCACCCACTTTGCTGCAGGCAGGCTTTGACTTCCTTCCTGTCACAAAGGTGGAGTTTCAGAAATGGACGGGGTCAAAGTAGGTCATTCCAGTTTCACTGGGAACAAGTTGCTGCCATGGCCTATTGCTAGGGCAGATAGTCATCAAACATTAATTATGTTAACTGATACTCACTTAGAGGGTATTTGGGAAATTGAGCAACAGACAGTCAAGCTGGTCATAAATGCTGAGTATACATGGACAGCTTTGAAACCAAAGAAAATGTGACTTTGTTTCTTGGCTGTCTGTTTCTTCCTGCTTTTTCAACCAAGCCTAAATATCATTCATCTGAAATGAATGATGGCTGTCTGCTCAGTGTAAGATTGAGAATCTTGGTTTAGCACCCAGCAGACAAACTGAGATTCATTCAGTAGTATGAAACTGAAGAGTCTGTGTGCACTCCAGCTGGGATTGTACCTCGCTGTTCTGTTAGGGTGCATATACACAACAGGGCTTAACTCAAAATAAGTTACGCAAATTGACCTACGTCAATTACATAGCTTATTTTGAAATTTGGAACATCTACACAGCACTTATTTCGAAATAGAGCACTTCCTCCGACTTCCTTTACTCCTTGTACGATGAGTGTCACAGGAGTCAGAGTAAAAAGTCCTCCAGCTTGACAATATTTCGATATTATTTCGAAATAACTGCCTGCTGAGTAAACGCTAGTTATTTCAAAATAATGTTGCTGTGTAGACGTACCCATAGACAGACACATACTAGCTCTGCTCAAGCTAGTGTGCTAAACATAGCAATGTGAAGGGTGTGGCACAGATAGCAACACAGGTTAGCCGCCCATAAAAAAGTCCATCCTTGAGAGTCCATACTCAGTGGCTAGTCCAACCCTTTGCCTGTGTCACGCAATCCATACTTATTTTTGTGCACTAGCATGAGCAGAACATGTACATAGCTATTTACCTGGACATGGAGACACATTCACTCTTACAATGTAGACATACTTTCAGAAAAGGTGAATCTGCCCTATTGGTGCAGAGATTTTGAGTCTCCATGGCCATGAGAGCTTGGAATGGTAGATGACTAGATTCCTGAATCAGCTATTACTTTAGCACTCTTTAGCCCCTTCCTGATCTCATGAAATAACTAGTGTAGTGAGATGAAAAAACACTTAGGGCATGTTTACAATAGGAAATTATTTTGAAATAACTAAATTTGAAATATCCCCCAAAATAACTATTTTGAAATAAGCTTATTCCCCGAGGAAAGCAGGAGTTGTTATTTCAAAATAACCAG